TTCCAAACTGGACCCCTAAAGAAAGTTCTCACTCAGAACAAAGTGTTGCAATCACATTAAATAACCTCCACATCATCTCTTTTCCTTTTCTTGACCATCCCAAACATGGCATGGTCAGTAGAGCTGTGGCCAAATCACACGGATGCCCAATTTGTGGGTTTTGGACTTCTGATAGAGCAGGAATTCCCCCTTACATTTAGTAAATCACTGTAGCACAAGCACAAGGGTAACCTCTGCTGCCCACTTATTCAAAAAATGCCCTTTAAACAAAAAGGCCTCATGATTTCATCTATGGCATATGACATTCACACTCACAAAGCTTAGGAACCAAGAAATGAACTGTCATGACTGAACCACACAGTGAAACACAGCTGAACCTGGGATTTTGTTTTACTTTCCATCCTTCCAGTGGCCCAGCCAGTGATACATTTCCTGACCACTGCTCTCCTCAGCAACAGCTGCCTCAACCAGACAGTGTATTTATCTGAAGTCATTAATAAAAACACCATGTTAAGTGCAGGTCTGACCTGCACTCCCAGGTATCTATTGCTTTATGGGCCTAATTAAAATAGTATTTCATTTAATGCCATAATTAACCTTGATGACATAATAATGTCATCAAGCACCGCCAGAATACAAAACCAGAGCCTGGCAGCCAATTATCCTTCCACAGGTAACAAAACAGAAAGCAAAAGGAAGTCTTCAGAGTTCTATAGAGAAATGAGGAGCTATTTTCTCTGTATTTTTGTCACAATTGCAACAGCTCCTCCTTTTTCTACCATTTTTCTTTGCAATCACCTCACAGCCCCTGGTGCAATTTGTGATGAGTATTGTAAATCCTGGACTTTGTATGGCTGGTTCTTACTGAGCTGCATTTCCTCCTCACCAGGACTGGCAGCTACTTCTGGAGAACTTTTTAAAAAAATCCTTCTCAACTTTCAGCTGATACTGATTTAACTTCCAGATGTGCTCCAGTTTTTGCTGACTGGAGCAAAACTAAAGCTAAGAATGGCAGGAGATTATCATGATCTAGATTGAACCTGGATGATGTGGCTTGAATACAGAGAAAGATCAGATTATCTCAGTGGGGGAGAAGAATGTCCCCTGTTCCATGATACAAGATAAATTACTAAATACATGCTTTAAACACATTTTTCACACCTGTGAAATCCTGCTGTGGGAGTTCTGGACCTGGAAATCTTACTTTTCGTGTCACTGTGCTGCATTTCCTCAGCCTTTAGTAGGGAATTCCTCAAACCTGATTTTTTAAAGAGCACAGTAAAATAAAAATATGACAGATTCCCACCACTTCATCTGGAATACTGCACTTATTATCATGATTCCAGGATTTGAGAGGCATGCAATATCTAACCACTGCAGTGAAGCTACACTTACCTCAGTGAATGCACCCACAGACCCCCAAAGCCCATTCCTGCACCATAAGAAAGCCTCGTGTGCATTTGAACATACACTGCTTTCCATCCTAAATGAAAAATAATCCAACTTCCCAAGTTGCCAAATATCTCATACCTTCAAATCAAATGGTTTATACACTTTCAAAAACACACTCCTGACAGCTGTGAGAATATGTTAAGTTTGATATTCAAGGAAGAGCCACGTTTCACTCTCCAAAGCACAGAATTCATTTTGCACCACAGATTATTTTCTTCCACAAACACACAGAAGAAGTGACTGCGACCTTTCCTTCTGCCCTTGTATAATAAACAATTTGTATGAGGAACAAATTACCTTGTAAGCTGAAAATAAGTGCAGCAAAACTGACCTTGAAACCAAATTTACATGCAAATAATGAACATAGAACCAGTACTGAGATTTCACCCCAACAGCAGGGTTTCATCTACACTTTATGATAAAGTAAAGTCCGTGTCCTAATATTGTCAGTCCCCAAATTCACACAGGACTTTAGAAAATTATGATATTTTAAATATGGTTTACACTGACAAGCTTAGCAGCAGCAAAAAGTATACCAATTTTATGGCTGAAAAATGTCTTGCCATTTCTTCTTAATCCTCCTGTATCTACTGAAGATTACTAAAACATGTCTCAGACCAGCAAAAAGAAGTTAATGTGGAAAGGTCTCATTTTGAAGGACCTCATTCAAAAGGTTGCTGTCCTGAACAAAACCAACCCTGGTGCAAAGGGTGAAAAAAAAATACCAGTATGATAATTTTGGCAACAGAATTTCCATAGATATTTAAAAGTAACAGATACTGCTTTAGATCTGTTTCTTTGCACAAAAAAAATGTTTTCTTTTCAAAGTAGTATTTCCCTTGGCAGTAAGAATTGTCTTACTCATGGTACAGTGAGTTTCTTGCAGCAGACAGAGGTCCTGACTGAAGTCAAAAGATACATAGATACTTCTGCAGCCCATCAGGGCACAAGAAAGATGTGTTCCTTCATGCCAAAACTGGTTATGAATTAGCCAAAGGTCTGTACACTTGAACTGGCATCATGGTGCTGACTTGTTCATGTCTGTTGAAAAGAAAATAATCTCAAAAGCCTCGAGGTTAGTAAATTATAATTTCTCTTTAAAGCAGGAGGTGTTTGTTAGTAACAGAACTAGGGGATGTTAAAGACCATCCTACAAATCAGAGTCTTTCACTGAAATATGTGAGAGTTGGGACTTACAGAGCTCTTAGATAATGCACAAGTGATATATGCTGAGAGAAGGGATAAGCATTTTAATTTAGGCTCCACTCCATACAGAACAGTCCTTCCTGTCCCCCACTGCCTGGCTAACACTGATCCTTACCATTACAGTGCTGCAAATGCATCTGGAGCAGCAGTGGGACTTGCCCAGGCAGCACTTTCAAACACAAAACATCCCACAAGGTTCTGGTTTTAATTGCTTTTTCCTTTATTTCCAATTACTGCTTTTCTGCTCAGCTGCATCACTAACAATGACTTTTCTGTCCCCTGCTGTAAAACCTGACACTTGGACAAATAGCTGCTCACAGAAAAAGAAACCTGCCAGTTTGGGCACACAGCATCAGGCTCCCAAAATGCAGCCTAAGTTTGAGACAACAAGAAGTGCCAGGTTTTAGTTCTTCAATGCCATTAGCAATACTGAGAAGGTAAATTGGCTGCCAAGCACTAAAACTGAACCAGTGATTATGACAGTGATCTCTAAAAAAGCCTAGATCTCCTAAATGAGAAGCAGGAAAGCTTGTCAACATGTGGTTTTAAAAGTTGGCTTGGAGTGACAAGCCAAGCACCAAGGATCAAAAGAAGCATAAACCAAAACAAAACAAAAAGCCAAAAAGGCAGAAGGAGAGGAAAAAACACTGCAGAGGAACATTCTGAACATGAAAAATACATCAGCTTGTGCCAGCAACAGAAAAGACCCCGGGGTCATTCTCTCCCAAGCCACATTTTGTCAGCAAGAGGAGAAGTGCAAGTGCCTTCACATTGTGCTTCACCTCAGAAGCTGAATTTCTCCTTTGCTCTCAGGATGTCAGCAGTGCCTCAGGTTGTACCACAGGCAGTGACACAATCACGGACTCCTGACAACTTGATTACACAGGGGAGTGTGTTAGAAAGGGGTAACTGGCATTAAGATGAATTTTCTGTTGTGCACATGAAGCACTTTGGAGCTGTTCTTTGCACTGTTTTGTTTCAAAGGGGGTGTGCAACCAGGCCTGTGGCACCCACTGCCCACAAACCACCTGGGAAAGGGAACAGCCACAACCAGGTGCTGTTAAAAAACCCTCAAAATGACATCAAGAGCGAACACCTTGCAGCAGAAAACCTGAAAATGAACTGGATAGGGCTGAATGGAAGCAATTTCACAGTTACAGACTTTTGGAAATTAAGCCAGGGGCACCTTGCATGCAGTGCCCCTGCACTGAGCCAGGAGACAGCTCTCCTCCCACACCCAGAACTCAGCTATGATTTCTACAGCTATAAACACATGTTAATCTTAGAATTGCATCTGGCAATGAAATAGTTTCATGTGCTCCCTTTCAAAACAGAGCATTTTGCAAAAGGTGATACTTTCAGCTTAGGGTTTACTTCCAATCATAAAAGCCAAAATAATCAAACATACAATTCTTGATAGCAAACCCAGAATGCAGGTATCTCAGTTTATCTAAGTCAGCATTACTGCAGGTGAGTGGATCACTGTGATCCATAATTCAAAAAACACCATCCCAATTTGCAGGCAGCAGTAGTCTACAGTCAGTTCTGCTTGGGGTAATGCCTGTCAGCAGACAATTACTGAGGCTGTCTTTAAATGAGTAAATTTCCATCTTTTCTGTCTTGAAAAAAAAATACAGAACACAGTAGGAATATAAAGTTGTCCTTGGCTTTTTTTTTCCCTGCAAAAGAGTGGCTGGTCTTGCATTATAAAAGGTAACACTGCTGGAAGCTCAGCACTCACCTGCCAGACAGATGAGCTGAGACTGAGCTCTTTCTCTCTAGACATCCTGCCCCAGAGTAATTCTAGTTCCAAATGATCCACTTCTTATAAAAATCTCAAACCAGCCTCAAAGGCTTTTTATTTAGGTATAACTGACAGCCATCAGAATGCTCATCCCTGTCAGATCTCCTGGAAGCAGGGATGGACTTATAACCATGTTCCAGCAGGTTAGCAGAGCTGTGATAATCAATCATCTTCACACCCAGCCCACAGCCATCTCAGGGGATTAAGCCCACCTTGAACAGCAAAGGAACTTCAGGCCAGTCTAAAATAAGCTGTTTATTTTGGATTTGCTGCAATCACAGCTTTGCTCTTGCTGCACAGTCAGAATTGGATGGCAGTTCCTAAGCCCTACAGCTTTCAAGGAAGTCACTTACTGTGGCCCAGATATGTCAAACCATGGCCACAATTTTGGCCTTTTTCAATCATTACTTCTCATGTCATCAATGGGAAGACAGAATGCTGCATTATTACCACACACAATCCCACAACATGTGCCAGCACACCCAGTTAATAAATGACACCATGAACCATTTCTCCTGCAGGCAAACCCAGGCTGTACCTGCTCGGGGCTCGACTGTCTTGTTGGAATCTGCATCCAGGAAGACAAATCGTCCTCCCCCGAAGTCCTGGGTGTAGTCAGAGAGGTAGAGCAGAGAGGTGTAGTCAAAAGAGCCATAAGTCACCTGGGGGGGAAGACAACATGACCAAAAATTACCAAATTCTGCAGAGCACAAATAATTCAGCAGATAGATCTGGTGGGTTATTCTAATGATCCAGTTTTGACACAAATCCTCTGTGTTCATTAGTCTGTTCTGTTACATGTACACACGTGCTACACACACGAGTAGCCTGTCATGTTTATTATCACAGTTTCCATAACTCCAGAAGTGCTCCTGTTGATTTCCAGCATCCAGGAGCAAAATCAACACAGTGCCAGAAGTTACACCCCTGCCTCGGGTCCAAAGTGCAGCAGAGCTCAGATCTGCTTACACTATTTCAAGATAAAGGTCAATGAGCAGAAGAACAGCCTTTGACTAATGAATCCCACCCATTATCTAACCATGGTTATAGATTTCTGAAAACCTCACTTTTCACTTCTTCACCAGCTACCAGGCAGGAGCTTTGTGGTAATAATAAATCAGACTTTCCAAATAAACACACATTTGTTGGAGGAACTTCTACTCTTTTCCATACAGGTTTTGTTTAAAAACCTTCAAACGTGACTTTCTAAGTCTCTGCTTCTTCTCAGCCTACAGACCAAACATCCCATTTTTAAGTATAACAAAGTGATTTTTCCTTCCTTGTAAAGCATTATTTTTGCTTGATATGTACATTGAAGATGGAGAAGAGAAATATTATATATTAATGCTCAGAGAGAAGCTATCTAAATATTTAACACTGAGTTTAGCTGATTCTGAAAATATTTCCTTTCATATCTACACGTCACCAGCAATTAAAAACATCCTTAAAATCAATGGCTGTATTCTCCCATTTCTTACCAGTAAATCACAGCTCTAGAGTTCAGCATTACACTGTCAAACAGGGAAATGTGCAGCACAGTAGTACTCTATAAACACCCAGCATTTGCAGAGTGTTTTGACTGACCTGGTGACTGTCAGAGGTAGGTGCTACTTCCAAACTTCGAAGTTTTCTAAATATTTTCAGTTATGTTTCAAGTTACATTCATTAGTGCCAGTTAAATTTCTGGCTCAAGAGCAATTGTACATATTATTCTGTAAGGGCAGTGACTGAAGAGAACAGAGCAGCAGATGGAACAGGAAGACATTCTCATTCTTACTCATTTTATTATTTTGACCATAAGGGCTTGAAGGCAGAGAGCCAGATCTGGTGATAAGCTGCACTACACAGCCTGAATCACAAGAATGAGAGAAATATTACAGTGATCCCCTTCCCCCCGTATTTTCCCAAACCTTGGTAGCAACACAAGGCAATAAATGGGAATTAAAGAGCAAGTGGTACTGCAGCACCTCAAAGCAGCCATTCTGCAGCCCTTCTCATGCAAATCAGCTCTGCAAAGCTATTTTCCACTTCGTTGATTTGGTGATAAAACTTCCCATCAGTTTAAGGAAGCCTTCCAGCCAGCGAAGGCACGAGCACAGTGAAGTTCATTCAGCTCATACCTGCAAGTTTAAGGCATTAAAATTGCTCTTATCAAGTCTTCAGTGGTGCAGCAATCTCTGCTCCCTCAGTGCACTCTCCATCCTCTCCAAGGTGGCTTTACCAATTCTAAACTTCTAAAGAGCTGCCTAGAAACCATTTTAGCCTAACCAAACACATCTAATTGCTATAGATGACTAAATGTGCAAAGTAAAATGGCTTTTCTGTCCCTGCCCTTATTCATTACTAACTCTCAGAAGCAGCCAGGCCTGAGAAATCCAACACTATGGAAAGGAGGCACTAAATTATACTCAGTTAAAATGCTAAAAGTCCTCCCATGTATATCAAATGTATTTGTTACCCTGGTAATGATTTCCAGTACCAGACAGGTTGGTAATTTGAATCAGAAGTTCACACTATGTGAGAAAAGCTGTCATTAAAACCAGGGGATAAGCCATACAGCCACAGCAAATCAATTTTCTCCAGCTCCTTACGAGCAACTCAATAGAAAAAATGCAGGTATTTCAATTCAGCCTGATATGTCATAGAGTTAGTGTGCTCTTTTTGAGCACTCTTTACCCAAAAGAGGTCAAACATAGCTACTATTTAATGGCAGATGCTCATAATGATGTTATATGATAGTTCTTTAAAGGCGATTATTATAAATATAACTGTCAGAATCAGCCAGACACATTTTGCAGTGGCACCCTTGGGTTTTTGAGGGACATGTTTATATGCAACTAAACAGTTTTAGGACTGTGCAAGAGGTCTGCAGTCACTAAGGATATTTAGGACAACATCCTCTGCCTTCCATTGCAGAAGAAAATTCACTTTCCAGCCAGCATCGGTCTAGCTTGGTATCTTGCAGGAAAAAAAAGAGTAAAAACTACTCTTTATCTATCTACTCTACCTATATCTGTGTAGATAATCACAAAAACAGCCTTGATAGTTTCTCCCAGTGATCTGTTTATTGGTAGGAACTATTCAGCAGAGTGTAGGACAGCAAATCCCACGTCTCTGAATGACAGGGGGCAGGAGGTGAGCTGAGGTGACAGCTCTGAGCAGACACGAGGATCAACTTCCCCAAAGGACAAAGATGATGCTGTTTTAAGGCACAGGGAGATCTCTGGATGTATTTTATAAATGTGTAACAGCATTAGGGGAAGAAAATAAGAGTGAAAAGCCAGACTCAGCAGCCAGAGGGGAGAGGGCTGGGGGGGGGGGTTTGGGGACATGGAGAGCACGTTGCAGGTGAGGGGACTTTGAGGTTTGGCTGAAAAGGGATGTGATTCCTGCCTTATAAATACATGGGGATGGGAGGAGGTGGAACTGAGAGGAGGGGAAAAATAGCTGTAAACTGATCATGGCCAAGTTTAGGCTTAAAAAAAAACCCAACCAAAATAATTTTGAGAAAATGTGCACTGAAGTCCTGGAATAGCTCTGATAGAAGAAATTCAAGGAAAACAAGCCCAGAAGGATCTTCTGGCAGAGCCTGATGATTCTGTGAAGGATGACAGGATCCTTGCCCAGGCAGGGGACTGCAGAAAACTGCAAGTCCCACATTGCTTCTATTAGAGAACGTTCTAAGACTGCACTGCTGACAGTGTGCAACAGCAACTCCATTATAAATCAGATTTTTGACATTTGAAAGCCTCAGTTCCCAACAAATTCCGTCCAAGATGAAACTCCACATCTTAAACCAACACTCTCTCTATTTGATTTACATGCTTATAAATTCAACAAGATTAAATGAGTCATCTGGGTGATTGCAGGGTTTCCATTTCTATGTAACTACAAACCAAATAAATTTTAGGGGAAAAAAAAACAACACCAAAGCCTCAGATAGACACAATAAATCTGTACTACTCCATTATGAAGTTAAAAATCTTTAAAACCAAGGAGAGTCAGATTAGAAATATCATTGCAATAGGCTCTGCAACATAGGGGAAAAGGCAAGAGGGGTATTTGTGTGCTACAAGAAGCCAAAATCTTTGTAACAACTGTCAGACTTCAAAACAAGAAACGCATCGGATTCTTTTCTCAAAGGCTTAATTTTGCCTTTCTTTTGGAAAGAGGCAAGAGAAAAAATCCTACTGTCTTCTAGGAGTAACCTTCACTAGGTATGTCTGCATAGCAATTAAAAAAGTGACTTGTCCCGTTCCAAGGGAGAAGAATAAATTACGATACAACACAAAAGCATCCAACAAACTGCCAAGTTTTATTGATGTTTCTTCAACTTCCTTGTATTCACACTTGCTTTGGAGGCCACAGAAGAAGACTAATGCTCTTAACTGGGAAGCACTTCCTACCTCAGATCAATAGCAATGGATTTTTTTTTCCTTGCTTTCACCTGCAGTCTGGAAGTGGTAAGTGAAAACTTACTTTGTTGGAGAAAGTAAAATACAAGTCAGACTGCACTCAAGGTAACCTGTGAAGCTACAACTTCATCCTATTTAGTCTCTGTTCAAGCTACTTTTGATTATGAACAAGGTGTTTGGTAGCTGCCCCAACTGGGATAATTATCTCTTCATAGCCTCAAAGAATTATTTAGGCTGGAAAAGACCTCCAAGATCAACAACTGTCATAAATCAGACAACCCACTTATTCAGTATAGACACTATTAAGGTTTAGATTATGCATTCCAAGATTAAGGGAGCACATTTTCTGTCTGTTTTGGTGTTTTGAAGCTGAGGGTGGGTTAGAAAAAGTCAAGACCAATCAATTGATGGATCTGCTCCCTGAACAGCCTGCCTGCAAGATAAACAAAACATGGACAAAGCAGAAGGATAAAAGCAGCAAAACATCTACCCTGCTGTCCATCATGTTCAGGCACTATCAGGCTGTCAGGACAAAGACTCAAGGGAAAAAAATCCTCTTCATGGAAATCTATTTGCTTCTAAATGACAAAATTACTTGTACGTTATAGGAGATATTTAGGTGGAAACATTTAATTGTGAGGTTATCCAACCACTTTATTCATTTCTCAATGCAAAACACATGCAGAAAAGAATAAAGAGCATGTTGGCAAGCTTAATGCTTGAGCAGACACAAATCTCATTATAGTAATAAATCAGGGTCTGAAATTCTGAAATATGCTTTTTAGGGGCTGAAACAAAAAAGTGGAGAAAACAGGCATCAGCTGTTGAAATTTACTGCTTTCTCTTCCCTTGTGGCAGCCAAATTTGATTCTCTGAAACTGCAGGGAAATTATAAGGAACTGATGAATTTACTGCACTTCACACAACCAGGATCCCTGGTTTGTTCTGTGTCTCTTGAGGTGCTGGAATTCCTGTGAACCCCCCCAGCACAATCTGCTCCCTGCAGCCATTCCCCTCCAACACTAGTCCAGATAACGTGGACCTCAAAACCATGCCTCTCACCTCTGGTGTCCCACAGCCACTCCCACCCACTGGTTACACCCCAGCTTTTTAAACCAGAAGCCTCCAAAGCCGGGCCTTGCCTGTGCTGGGTCAGCGCCTGCGGATTCCACCCCGCCGGGCTTTCTGCTTCCAGCCAGCAGCTGGGGCAGGGACCAGCACGTTTTCTACACTGAACCTGCTCCTGCTCACGTGACAAGAAAGGGCCCAGGAGCTCACACTAATGTTGGGAGCAACAACAGACATTCCACTCCCCTCAGACTGGCTTTTTCCAGGAAACACTTTCAGGCGAGGAGTAATTTCTCTGTTTGATTTTCCCATCTTAGGTGTTTCAGGTCATAGACTTCGAGGTACACTGCCCACTTAAAGATTCTAGCCCTGAGCATAACTTGGATTTTGATGGGCAGATTTTTGTTTGCTTCCATTTTGGGTAATCCATGACTCCAGAGTGACTCATTTATAAATCCTGAAGATATGAAATGTGGGTATTGTGCTGTGGAGCTTCTTTGTTTGGGGCTTTTTCATGTTTGGGGCTTTTTTCCTTTCATTCTTCCATTATTTGTATTCTGCTATACTTCATAGAACCTTTAAATCCAGTTCAATTCAGCAATTAACTCAATACCAAATCAATTAAGTCCATTAAAAATGCAAAGTACTAAGCTCTGAATCTAGAGATAGAAGACTGAGCACTTAAAATAGTCACAATACTTCCATTCTAAAAAGAACACAACACTGAATTACTGAAAGGGGGTACCATACCCCCTTTGAAAAACATACAGTAAAAAAGCCTCAATTCACACATAACCAAAATATAAATGTTAAGCCTTTATCAAAAGGCTCAGATCAACTAACAGCAGTGATCAATTGACCACTGTGAAACCTCTCCTGCCAGACCTGCCTGAAATTCAGGTCAATTTAATCAATATTTCTGACAAAAGAGATTCCTGACTAGTCATTCTCACAATTTATTAATCCTAGAGAAACCAAATTAGAGAAAATAAAATTAAATGGGATGTAATGGCCTACATTTCTAAAACTCACTTATCTCCCATTAGTTTCATCCCCTGAAGGATTTTTACAATCACCAATTTTCAAACATGTTTGACTGATTGTTTAATGCAAAATGACATCAAAGTGATCCAATAATAACAAGAGACCTTTGAATCCCCCCCCAGCCTCCTCCTCACCTTGTCAACATGGGGGTGCCAGTACTCATCATGGGTTGTCTTGGCCTCTGTGCTGTTCATTCTGGAGAAGAAGGTTGGCTTGGTCAGGTACATGGAGGAAGAGCTGATCCCAAACACCTCAGCAATCCTTTGTTGAATTCTCTGTCTGACATCCCTGCAAAGAACACACAGAGCACAGAATGCTCAGTGACACCTCTCCTGCTGTCCTGAGTTTTCCTTCATTCCCTTCATTCTCAATTTAGAGCCAAGCTTCTTCCTCAGCTGATAAATCATGAGGAACACATAACCATACTTTCTGATTTTGCCTCAAATAAAGAAGATGTACTACATGCAAAAAAGTGGTTTGGGTTGGGGTTGGTTGCTTTGGGTTTTTTGATTCCCAGAATATCAGGGAAAAAAAACTCTTTGTCTCCTGTGGCCTAGGTTTTACAGTTTTTCTCTATAAGCAAGCTGTTTTCCTCACTGTTTATTAACTGCTGAAAACATCAAAGTCTTCCACATAGGTATTTTTAATCCAAAGCAAGTAACTGTAAAGTTGTGCCTTCACAAAGGGTTGCCTCTGAAGAACCTTCAACTGCTTTTAGACTGATTTTGAACCACCTGATGAAGTCCCTGGCACCATGAAACTCGGGGTTCTTGATCAACATATATATTGGTATCATAACCAGATCTCCTTTCAAAATGAATGCAAGATGTCTTTCCCAATTATTTTCAAAGATCAGACAAAGTGTTTCTACCTTGGCTATTCCTTGTCTTGGAAGACAAGGAAGAACAGGACAGGGCTTTTATTTTATTTCAAGGCTTTTAAGGTTATCAAAACAGAAAACTAATGGTCACATATGTGATGCTGTACAGACCTGCTGCTACAGCAGCATCCCTCTGTCAGGCCAGGGCCATCTAGAACTGCCCCTCTTGGTTCAGTCCCCAGCACTTTAAAAAGAAGAGATTTGTGCTTAATGAGGAATACCTCTGGCAAATCCCAGTAAACACACTCAGCTAACATTCAGCTTTGAGGAAATTTAAAAACCAGCAAAGAATGCAATAACACAACATGATGAAATGAAAACACTGGGGTTCAAGATTTAATCCTGTTTCTTAAAACCTTTGTGTTGTTTTCTCCCAAAATACAGCACGTAACTATTTTGAAAAGCAGAACAAAATCACTTAAGGAGAATAAAGTCACTTCTTAGCCTATAAAAACTCTTCTGTACAGCCTAATTTCCACTGACCTGGCCATTCCAACATTTATCAATATCATGACTGCAAGTTTTTCATTCCATTCCCTTCCCCGCTGTTCCAGACACAGCCTATGGAGGCTATTGGCAAAATACTTAAGGACAAATGTGGTGTACTTCATGTGTAAATCAAGATAAGCCAAATTTCAGCTTAAAAGGTGCTATCAAGGAAGGAATGAGTAAGCCCAGGAACTCTGGCTCCCTTGGATCTGGTACAGCCAGAGCTTTGTTGTTCCCTTATGGACCCAGAAGCAGCAGGAGCCTTCCTTTCCTTCTTGATCCTGGCCCACTGACTCCTTATCCTTTTTCCTCTGTGTCCCCCACATATGAAAAACTGTTGAGGGAGTTCTGGTGTACTATGGCTGCAAGGAAAAAACTTCTTTATGCTGGAGAATGTAAGCAATTGCTTCCATAAACACAGCAATTATTCCCTCATTGACTGCTCAGGGCTCTGAGCGGATGCACTAACAGAGCTCTGCCATGGCAATAAATGCACAAGTACAGCACCCAGTCTGAAATATCAGTAACAAATTAAGCCCCCCCAAGTCTGTCAGCAGCAGGCCTTGTCCATTTGCACTGAGATACTGGATAAAAACTGGATAATAACAAAATGCACAGGCCAGACTCAGGGAAAGGCAGAACAGAGCTCCATGAAAAGAGCACATGACCACCAGATTCTGTAAAAAGAGTTACTGAAATCTATTTTGGAGTTAGGGTGATGAGGCAGAAAATAAAACAAGTCAATGTTTTATTGGCTTGAAGTCCAAGGAACATACAAGTTAATAAAAAGGAAGTTCACTAGATTGAAAATCACCAGTATAATGCAGCAGCAGCAGCAAAAAGGACTAAAAGAGCCACAGAACAGTTTCTGTAAGATACAGGCTCTGCCCAGAAGAGCAAAAAATGCAGTTGGGAGCCACTGCAAAGTGATTCAAGCACGGTGACAGGAACAGTCCCAGTTCAATCCTACACAACTTCCCTGTTATCCCAGTTGTCAGCACCACTGCTCCTCCCAGGGAACAGCCCCAGAGGCAGCTGGAGCAGGCAAGGCAAGGATCTCCTACAGCCAGAGAGCCTGAACACAAATCTAACATGCAGAAAGCAAACTATCAGCTCTTCCCCTGCTCTGTGTCTCTGCTTTAATAAGCTGTAAGGTTTAACCAATAAATCTTTGACAGTGCTGTTTGCTGCTCAAGTCAACCCTCACACCAGACATCCTGATTCAAAGGTCTCCCCTCTGGATAAAGATGCATCTATTCTGTGAAACAAGAGGAACTGCTGTAATTGTGCTTGGCAGATGGTGGTTAAAGCATCAGCCTAGAAACCATAATTGATTCTGAAGCGACATCATTTTGACAGAGACAGTTTAGAAACCATCCCCCTGGCTCAGGATGCCTACTCAGGTCTGTTATTGTTGCAATCAGTAATACTTAGACACGAATTACATTCAGTTATTTCTCTCAAGAGTGTATTTTTAAACTGACCTTGGTAGGTAAGGGAAAGTAATGAAGATAAATGCTCCCAAGAACAGCATAAAATCATTCATCAAGGCCATAAAGTACTACAATCCATGTTAAAGCACTGCCATTAATATGAAGAGAAACATTTAACAATAGATTTTGTTTTAGCTTCATATCCAGCAAACTGAAACATCCCCTATGTTGGCATGAAATCCCAGTGGAATACTGATATTCCCAAGCAGCTGTCTCTTCTCACAGCATCAATTCAATTAGATTATTGAAAAACTGAATGCTTCTGTTCACGTGAAATAGAAATTATATATTTTCTTTAAGTAATAATCAAGGAACCATCTCATTTTCGCCATTTTGGGATCAGAAGTAAACATGTTTTAAAGAAGTTTATCTGGAAGGACAATGGTATCTAAAAACAGTTACTGAATAGAAATAAGGTTTAAGTGATTAATATTTTAGTATAATATTAGTTAATTACTATTTTAATAAAACTAATAAACCTATTTGACTACTACAAACTCCTACCACCACTAGAGGGAGGTCAGATTCCTTTACAAAGGCAAGTAAAAAAAGATCAAAAAAAAAAAAAAGAGTTAAAGTGTTCAAACCAGGGGCATTCTAAATTATGAGAAACCAGTTGAAATGCATAACTAAAAGATTCACTGTGTCTACTCAACAAAGAATGACTGCTCCTGAACTTTGGTCACACACCTTCACAGGCACAGGGAATTCACTGGGTTTGTTGTCTTCCTTAAGGGTGACAGGGAAGCTGAAAGCACCAGATGCCAAAGCTGTGACATTATAGAGCTACTTGTGAGGGGGATTATGCTCTCCTTCTCCAGTCAGAACATCAGTCATTTAATAATAATAAATCCTGCTTCACCATTTTTAATGTCTTGCTACACTTCACCCCCAAACCCCCACAATCCTGATGTAATAATGGCAGAGAATTGTCTCTGTCCTCTAACACAAGAAATAGGAGTTCACAATGAAGGATTTTACATCCCAGCAAATCACCCCAGAACTCAGATAAAGCTCACAGGGCTGCATCAACCCCTTGGGCAGGGAGGGAAATGTGTGATCCCATTTACACCATCAGAACTGCCCTGACATGGCTGATGCAGCTCTGCTCAGAGCAGCTGATGTTGTTGATCAGTCACCAGAAGATCCTCTTATTTCTCTTCCTCATCTTATTTCTCAGAAATTACTATTCTGAGCTGCAAAATCAAGTGTATGTGTGAATGCAAAGGACAATCCCCTCCCGACCTGCACTCTAAAAAACCCCCAGAAATACAAAGTTCAGGTTTGTGGTTCCTTCAGCAGTTATTGGAAGCCTTTACCTATACAATGCAAAATCCTCTTCCGTGAAGATGTCGTGAATTTTGTCCCCAAAGTACCTGAAAAATTAAACAACAGGCTAAAAGAGGAGTTGCTGAATGAGAATCTCCAAGTAACACCAAGATGCCTCCTCACCCCACCTGTGATTTGCTCACAGTCAAAGAGAGAAAACACAACACAAAAAATCCTACAAATGCTTTTGAGCGTGATGTGCAAAAGCACTGCTAAAAGATTAAATGCTGAAAGATTAAAGGATCAAAATGCTGCAGCTGGTAATGGAATTCCCCAGGCATTAAAAAAAGTTCCCTCCCACATCACGAAATGAGCACATGGATTCAAATTTTTAAGAGTTCAGCCTACTTGATTTCTTCCCCTGCTGACAAACTAGACTATAACTGTGAAAAAATACTATGACCTACTGGTGCAAGAACCTCAAAATAAAGATAATGGCAGCCTTCAAAGAGCCCAGCTCAACAAAAGATTGGTTTTCAAGCCACAAAAGCTCTTTAACTGGTCGTGGAAATCGTGGTGAATCCAAGCAAATTCCACAGTTTCTCATCACTAATCCCAGCCCACAGGGCTTGAGAAATTGGAAGAGGGACTGGGCATGGATGGTGTGGGATAACAAGAGGCAGGAAGCCACAGCCCCACTTTACCTGTACAAATTAACAAAATGCTTCCCCAGGGAAAGAGCTCCAGAGTGCAAGTCCAAAATTGATGCCTGGAAAAGGAAACAGAAGGAAAAATGAGCATGAAAAGGTTTTATCATTATTTAACTATGACCTTTAATAACTGTCCCAAGTTGGCTCTCACTTTCCACAGCCTCCCAAGTAAAAATATTGGTTTCTGGCATTTGGGTTCACAATATAACATTTACTTTACTACTCCAGACCTCTCTGAGATCACTGTATGGAGGCACAGAATGTTCAGGTACTTTGAAAAAGGCACAGGACTGCTGTTCCTGAGATTCAAACCTGACAGGGAATTGCCATGGGCTGGGGGTAAAATACTATGTTCCAGGGTTCCTTCTTGAAGACATTTCCCTTCCACACAAAGATGACTAATTTTCCAGTATTTGTGAAGTGCTCAAGTAGCAGCACTAATATTTATCTTGCCCAGCATTTGTTATTAAAACTTCTCCTTCACCCTGAGTTCCTGTACACTTCTCATATTTAATATAGACATAAAAAAGTCTGTTTAAAAGAACAATTAGAATTGTAAGGCTAACTAAAGCCAAAGTCTCTTTTCCTCAATTCCTAAACTGTTGTAAAAGAAAACCACACAGTGAAAAGTTTTTACATATGAAAATTCAATCCATTTCTTCATCCAGTTCAAGCCAAACTCTTCTGCTAAGCTCCAGATGAGCTAAAAAGATTAGTATTCAGATTGGTCAGGATGGAGAGCTACCCCTCAGGACTCTAAAATATTTCTCTGAATTGAATAAAGAACACTTTTTATGTCCCTTGCTGTCCACAAAATACATGTTTGGTTTGCATCAGTTAAACAGTATTTAAAATATCGCTTCTAATAGCAGCCTTTTCTTTATACTGGAAATACCAAATGGCAACAGTTAATTAACCTGCCTGACACCAAAGTAATCACATCTTTGATACACAATAGCCAGGCAAAAGCAATCATCTTGGAATTTGTCATTTTTTTGATGCACCACATACCATTCACATTATTCTAACAAAATCCCAGCATTAAGAACACTTGTGATGCAGGAAAACACTCATAGCAGTCCCTCAGAAAAATCTCTGCAGCCTCAATTGCTCTGAGCTCCAGAGCTGAATCAGGGGAACCCCACTGACATCTCCTTTTACAAGGGATAGTCTTATTTATAATAATTTTATTTACCCCTTGAAAAACACATCAAGTTTCAAGCTATTCAAGTGGACACAGCATGAGCTTTTCAGACCTCCCCTTCCCACAGTTGTCCAAAAGCTTCAGAGGACTGTTAAGAAAACAAGTAATCTCACACTCAGGCAAGAGCAGTTCTTGTAATAGGCTTTACTCAAGCTTCACAAGCAAAATACTTTTATTTATTGGTCCCTAGTTCTGTACAAAAATATAAGCCACAGCGTGTGCAGCTTCAAAAATATGTTTGTGACTCTTCTAAAGTAGATTAGAAGAAGTACCAAGACACAGTTGAAAAGATGAATTTAATTTCAAACCAGATTGCCTTTCTAACTCTTTCCATGTCCTTTTCAAACTCACACATTTCTTCTCAGATGATTACAGTTAGGAAGATCCAAAATAACCAAGTGAATCAATAAAAGACATCTCCAAGAACTGTAGGTATTTATAACTGAACAGGTAATAACTACAATATAAAGCCTAGAAAAGCCAGATGAAGACTGAAAAGGGAATCTGGAAAAGAAAGAACATTCTTTGGGGTTGTTTCCAACAGGGGGAAACAACTTAATGCCAAACAGGGACTTGTTTACAGGTGAGCCCAGAACTATTGGTGTAACAGCTACCTGGGAAAGAAACCAAAACAGATTTATTTTGCCTCTGCCATTTCAGAAAATTAAACATTTTCATCACAATTTCTGACACTGAGAAGCAAACCTTGGTTACTTCAAGCCCAGCTATCTGCCCAAAGGTCAGCCTGCAGTTCAGGTCAGTGTTCCCAGGCTGCAAGCTCTACAGAGATGGCAAACACATACCCACAACCCTATTTTGAGAGGCTGTTTGACAGAACTACCCCCATATCCTGATTTTCAGAACTTTCTACAGAAGGGAAATAAAATTTCCTCAAAAAAATAAAAAGCACAAATACATGTTCTTTCAAACCTTCAGTACTGTTAATCCCATACTCTCTACCCTCTGCTAAAAGGATTCAAAAAGAACATTCAAGTACTCAGCACTTCTCAGCATATGGCAAAAAGGATCAATTTTCCCATCTTGGGAAGCATGACAGGCCCTCCCTTTGTTCCTCCCTAAAAGGGATTGCCAAGCATTAAATACCTATTCACATCTACACCAACTCCTCCAGCCATAAAAGGTTTTAAGCGATATTTCTAAAGAAAACAGCAGACCCACTTCCCAAAGGAGAAGAATGCAAAAAACTTACTTCTACTTGTCTACAGAGGAGCTGGCAGCACTCAAGACCTTCCCCACTGCTGCTCTGGGAATGCTCACCCACTCCAGCTGAGAAGAAGGAAGAGCAGTGGAGGTTCTACCTGGCCACCAACTCCTGGGCAGCACAAACTTGGTGTCACTGCAGGGAGCCTTGCACAGACTCCCAAAACAATCCCACCTTTACATACCCTTCCCTACTTGAGACAGGAGTAGACAGACAAGAGGTATGGTCTTGGGGAAATGCCTCTTAATTAGGATTAATTAGGAGACACAAGTGTAACCAGAGTGACTTACACATCAGTCAGACTGCTGGAGGTACAGGTTATTGTGGAAGTTAAATGCAATATTTGGCTACTGAGCCCAGGACAACTTCACACCAGATACAGACTGGACACACCCAGCTCCTCTCCAGCTTTTTGGAGCTAAGCCCAGACAATCACACCAGCACACAGCTGTCAGGGAAGTGAAAGACAGGCTGCCAACTAGGTTTTTGGCTCCTCCCAAGTACTGGTTTCCTAAGGGCTATCAGGAGGTTAACTGGGAAGGAAGAAAACTACACAGCCTGTAGAGGTATGAGATAGGACCTGCAGGGGCTTCATGTTCTCCTTGGAAAAGGCAGAGCTGGCAGCATTCTGAGGACCTCAGAGTTTGGCTGGGAGGGCTGAAAGCAGAGCAAGAAGGGGCACAGTCTGCAGAACCACTGTCCACGTGGGCTGGGGGGCTCACAGCAGAACCCCTCATTTGGCATCACAGTTGCACAGGCTGTTTGCTTCCCCCAGAGATTAATCAATTAATTCTCCCTGCAGAGGGAGGGTAGATGGCCACTCCTGCCAGCCCTCTTGGAATGCAGGACACACACTGCTGAGTGGCTCATCCAGGCACTTCTTTTCTGGGGCTTCTAAATAAATGCCAAGAGGTGTGATGGGAACTGAGTGGCTTCACTTCCACCAGGGCATTGTTGTGATGGCAGCACCTCCAAGGAGGTGAAAGAACCAGTCAGGACTGGAGGGGTAACACAGGCAGGAGGGGTGTGCAGGAAAAGAGTAGGCAGGGAAGAATTATAAAAATCAGAGGAGGTTGAAAAGGGAAATGTCATTATTGCTGTGTAGAAGAAAAAAACTAAGCTGAGGCAAACATCAAGAGAACAATGGAATTCACGTTCTGTGAGTAAGGAACAGGGTATAAAACAACTGCAGGAGACAGATGCACAAGGGAGAGCAGCTTAGTGGTGGAGAAGATACTCCTGTTTGGATTCTGTTGGAAGTCAGACCAGAAGATTACCGTGGCCTTCTCCAGCCTCACTCTGTGTGTGTGTAAATAAAACTAAATCCAGGAAAAATTACAAAGGAAGATAAGAGAGTTCAGCATAACAACTGGGGCGTGACTCCTGGGAGGCCTCAATAATTCAGGTGTTTGTCAGGACTTTCTCAACATGGAACAGGAAAGAAGTTTTTGTGCTGTGCTTCAGCACTCCAGGGAAGGGCAGCCAACAAAGGGAGGAGAGAACTGACAGTCACACACTGCAAGTTTAAGTCTTTAAATTAATAAATGATATCCAGACACACAGACACAAACACACTTCTGTGAATTCAAAATACAGTAAGTATGACAGACCAAAAAAACCCCCAGATATGTTGATTAAAAAGGGGCTAAGAAGAAATCCAAGGGAATGAAAATGCAGTCTGCACCCCAGCAGAAATCTGTAGACATTTTATTTAGAATAGCGGAGAGATCAAAGTGGCAAAAGAAAGAATTAAAAATAATTAAACAGCAACAAGGTGTTATTTAAGGTATTTTAAAAGAAAAAATATAGTCTTAGAACAACAGGCACAACTGGATAGAATTATCCATACACTCTAAATTAAAGCAACAAGCCAGACCTAATCCAAGTGGCTTGAAGCTTGAGAGCAGACAGGCAAAGTAGCTGGATGAAATAAGACTGGAAACATTTTGTATGCTATGTAGGTAAGAGATTGGAAAAGATGAAAGGCTCAAATGAAGAAAGACAGTTTCATCTAAACCCCATCAGTTCACACCCAGCAGGATCTAATGATACCTGAGAGCCAAGACAGCACTGTGGGGAAAAGATTCACTCCATGACCTGGACATAAGCTGGCACATTGGAAAAGAGAGAGGAAAATGGCAGAACAGGAGAAAGAGGTATAAAAGAAACCTGGTAAAGAGACTGTATATAAAGGCTTCTGAACATGATTCTTCTCTGTGAGAGTGGTGAGGCCCTGGCACAGGTTGCCCAGAGAAGCTGTGGCTGCCCCTGGATCCCTGAAATGTCCAAGGCCAGGCTGGGAAGGCTTGGAGGCCAACCTGGGGCTAGTGGGAAGGTTCCTGCCCATGGCAGGGGGTGGAACTGGATGGGCTTTAAGGGCCCTTCCAACCCAAACCATCCCATGATTCTATGATCTCCCAGAAACACTGGTCAGCTCTTGTGTTTAACATCTTTCAGTGTTTATCCACTATTTTGGGTAAGGCCTCAATGCAATACTACACAGTTTTGTTCTTGCACCTTCCCCTAAGGATTAACAGCACTCAAGAACTTCCTCACACTTTCAGCTGCTGAGCCATGTGAGCAGGCTTGGCTCAGAGCCCAGACCTCTCCATGCACATCAGATTTCAGCAGATTTATTTTATTGCAGTGATAGCATCATCTTCCCCTCTCCCTCACTTCCCTCTTCTCTAAATAAAACCTCTCAATGATGCTTCCAACATAACGTAGATGATGGATTTATATCTGTCTGATGCTCTGGTTTGTTGTCCAGCAAAGCCAGCTCAGCAGCCCTGCCCAGCTCTGTGCTTTGGGGCAGAAAGTTTAACTCCCTCTCACATATTTTCCAAGCTTTCTCTGCCTCAGGTTCCCCAGTTCCCTGACCCCCAGCTGGACAACACTTTCTGTGGTCCAAATCCATGGGGCTATCTGAGTTATACCTTCCCCCTGTAATCCCTCTTTGTGGAAGTGCAATGAAAAATCACATGTAGGGCCCCAAAAGCACAGGAGAGAAAACCCACTAATGCCAGGAGCCAAGGGGAGGGGCCCAACAGGCAAAGTGGCAAATCATGCAACCACAGAACTGGAAGAAATCCAAGGGATCCCAACAGAACTGAACACAGATTGTTAAATCTTTTAAACATATTGTTTGAGATGGGCAGCACTGCTTCAGTTTCTTGGTTTATGTTTTTTTGCAGGTCTTTCTCATCAGTCACAAGGACAACAAAGTCTTATTTTTCTTCACTGAAACCCTTCCTTTGTGCTAATACATGCCCTAATTCAGCAGAGGCCTAAAGAAGTGGCTGTGTTTGCAAACAGTCAAGAAACAGTTTCTGTTTGTACACAAAAGCATTCTGAGAACAAAGACAGGGTAAAGAAATTAAAATGAATGTGCTTGTTAAAGATAAGTGGGATTGTTTTCATTTTAAAGAATACTATTCCAAGGTTTACTTAAGACACTACATGGCTTTTTTGTCACTACACAAAACCAATCTTTACCTGCTGCTGTGAACCACTGTAATTTAGTTTCAGAAGTCAAACTATTGCAATTCTGCTACAGTACATCTGTTTCCAGATGAAGAGAAAATCAGTTCAAGAGAGGTGCTAGAAATAACTAAACTGAATTCAAGGAAATGGCAACTGTATTGCACAAGTCAGGAGTTACACTGCTAACAGAGGTATTAATGGGAGATAACTTTCTAAACAAATTTTTTTCCAAGTTTGAACGGAAGGAAAAAATTCTCCATCTCCTCGACCCCCAAAAAATGCATTTATAATCTTGCCTTGGCAGTAAAAGAATGTAGAAAGTAACAGGACACTGCTCACCCCTCCATCAGATCCTCCCAAGGACAGTCCCCTCTCTGCTATTCTGCAGGCAAAACAATAATCTCAGATGAGAACTGAAGTCTGATTACTTTGTCCTTTAATCCTTATTTACAACATGTAACTCTTCAACTGAGTTAACAGAATCTCCCATTTATTAGAAATGGAATCTTGCAGCCTGTCATAAAAATGAAGTATTTCTTTTGCAGAACATTTCTGAGCTTGCAGTTCCCTCCCATAAATCCCCCAAATAACCCCAAAAACATTAGCTTTTAAATACACTCTGGCCAAGTAAAGTTAAACATAAAAAACCCCAGATCTTTATTCTTGGAGGCAGTACAAATAAACCTGTACAATGCAGAAATCACAATCAGGAGCCCAACTGAATTGAATCACAGAGTGAACAAAGCACTCAGGAGCTGCACATCCCTTCAAGCACTACTGACACTCCCCACTTACTTGATTATCAAGTGGAAATCACACTCAGAGAGGCTGATAACTTTTCTAACTGCACAATTTGACCCCTACTATTTGATTAAAACACAGCACTTAGTGCTCACAGAGGACTACAAGGTCAGCACCAGTTCATAATTACCCAGAAAGACTCTGCTGAAAGGAGACTTCTGTGGTTTTGTTCTGCTTTTAAAGGCCAAATGAAACAGGAGGCAAATTGAAAATCCTTTAAAACTTATTTAATTCCTTTTCCTTTTTTTCAGTGAAGCACTCCTGCCCCTCAGAGACTCTGTGAGAGAACTGCCTTCACTACAGCAAAAATGCAGAATGGCTTTAAAACCCCCAACATTTAGTGTTTTAACCAGTTTAACCCATCCTGCTTAAGCTACTGAGCTTCGTGCTGCACCTCAAAGACTGGCACAGTGTCATTACAGTAAGTGCTTGGAAAAGTTAAGAGCTAAAAGAAAAATTACCTACGGATTCTTTCAGCTTCTTCCCTTGTGATTATGGCATCGCTCACACCCCTTCCACACCTCCTAGGAGTGCACCCTGGAACACAAAGAGGAAGAAAAAAAGCCACTGAAACCACTTCAGCCACCTGCAGGGCAGGTTTTTGTAGGAGATTTTGCACACAAGTGTCTCGAAGCACAGAGCTTGGACAGATTTGATAAAACAGTCCCTTAAAATTCCTTGCTAAGAAATCCAACATTAAATTTTAAAAGCTCATGGGAATGAAAAGCCAGCAGTAAGAGTTCCAGGTGAAGAATAAATGAAAGTTCTTAAGGAATTAGAAGTCTGGTCCACAACAGTCTTCAGGCAAGAAGAAATAAGATCAATTCTGAGCCACCAGAGACTTTGGGATGTCACACTTGGCACTTTTCTGGGTAAGATCCACACAGAGATGTAATGCCACAGAAAAGCTGGGCTGAGAGTATTTTCTGCCACCTGCAATACATGTTCTGCTCCTGCACTGAGTGTCTCTTCACGGATTATTTGCTCCTCAGAACACAAAACTCCTGCAAAGAAATCAATCCATTCACCCATGCAGGTCAAAAGCAGCAGTCTGCTCTAATTAAAAGCAAATAATAAGTATGGCCAGGCTGACAGAAGGAGAAGTTTTGCCACAGCACAAGTGCTTTGTAGGAATTTCCACTCCATCTTACTGGATATACCCCAGCCATGTCTCCTGTGGGCTGCAAGGGTAAGCTGCAGGTAGAGAAGAGCCAGGAAAGAGTAAATTCAAAGGATAATTTCAATACTCCAGGACAAACCTGGCTATTGGGAGTTTCCTTTCTACAACATTCTGCAAAACCTTCTGATTTCAGGAGAGATTTGTGCCATTTCCAGCTGCAAACATCAGCATAGATTTTATCCTTTTGGAAAGGCTGGTGCTGGAGAGTCCAAATTTGGCAAAACTACAGGGTTACCTCAGACAATTGTTACGTGTCTGGGGTCTCTGACAAAGAGATGGCAGTGGAGAAGGCAACAGCATAAGCTCTTCCAAATGGAGAAATTAAAAAAAAAAAAAAATCCCAAGAAAAATACAGTCCAGCATAAAGTCGGTCAGGTACCAAGAGTAAGGCACAAACAGTGGGTGAATACTAAGGCAAAATCAGAACAGTCTGTTTGAAAACAATTTCAGCAGCCAGAAATGTGTCATCTTTGTCTCAGAGACCATGGCACATGGGAGCAATGAAGTGTTAAAAGCAATCCCAAAGAACCTGCACTCAGGAGAAATTCAGATTAGTATCACAAGTACCCAGTAGCTTCCACAAATTTATGCCCAGTAGACACAAAATATCCACTTATCCAATAAGGCACCGTCAGCTTTGGATATCAGAGATGTATTTCTTCAATCAAGGTAAAGGAGGAACATACCAAAACATGTAAAACACAAGTAGTGCTTCTGACCCCTGCTCCTGTTCAGCGCACAGAAACCACAATGTAACACAGGGCTTCAAGTGCCCAAACTGCAGCTTCATCTCCTGCTAAGTGGTATTTTGCCAAGAACTGCTAAGACAGACATAATTCCAATGAGAAAAAAGACTCCATCAAGATGCTCCCCTAATGCACAGAACCTATGGTCTGGGTTGGAAGGGATTTAAAGATCATTTAGTTCCACCCTCCCTGCCATGGGAACAATCCATCTCAAAGCAGGACAAGAGCAGGCAAAGCTTTATTGGCTGCCATCCCTGTAACAGTCTCAGTGTCAGACCTTTTCCTCCACTTTCCTCACAGGCTTCTCTGCTTTCCACATTCACTGACCTCATCTCTGGTAAAGCATCTTAATATTGTCTCCCACACAGGAGTTTCATCAGACACACCAGTAGGCACAGTAGTTTTAAGTAGTTAACCATGTCTCAAGGCAGCAGAAATGGCCAAGACCTGGCCACAGCCTCTGGAGTCTAGATGAGACTCTGCTCACACAACACCCTTCCTTCTGCAAATACAATAATTTAAGTGCTTGGCCTCTGAGAAATAGCACATTTCATTTTGTATGGAGCATGTTTACAGGCAGGCAGTGCTATGGAAATAAAACCTGCTCTGCCACCAGCTACCACATCACTTGAAGCAAACTGAAAGCTCAGTTGCACCAGTTCAGTTGGAAGCAGGGGGCAGGTGCATAAATAAAAAGCTCATCTTAGCTGTGGAAACTTCCCAGCTGAGCATCAGACACCAAGTGACGAGAGGAATGTGCCTCCTTCTGACACAGAGCCCGCAGCTGTGGGGGTCAGGCCAGAGGAAAGGCTGGGAATGAGGAGCTACTGAGTGATACAAACCTGTTTCCAAAGTGGCCAAAGCTCCAGAGCTGGATCCAGTTTGGCAATGACCACAACTGTCGGTAACACAGCGAGCTCGGCGTGTCACAGCTCATCATCCCCCTCGCGTGGGGAAAAAGCCAAGTGCAGGGCTCATTAGCACAGCACGCCTTCAATTAACCAATTAACAGCTGCTCCCGCGTTTCCAACACCGCTGATCTCCTCCTGAACGCACAGGGCAACACACGTAAAACATCTACTAAAACCGCAAATCAATCCCATACATTGAGAAACAGCGGCAAGCAAACATCTAGTTAGAAAATCAAAATACAAACACAAGGTGCGTCCCCTTTGTCCCTCCTGGGTTGATCAGCAAGTCAATCGTCCTCAGAAAGCCAAGAGGTCACACCTCACCCTGCAATCAGCACTTACTGATGCTCCACGGGACATCCCCAAGAATGGAGAACACATTCATTCCTACCCCTGAAGTTCCTGCCTTCCTTAAGATAGAAAGAATAACTGATGGGGTGGCCAAGACCACAAGTCCACAGCTCAGAATTCCTCTTGCAAACCAGGGAAGGGAAAGATAACAGTTGTGTTGGTTTTGGGGGTTTCTTTTGATAAGCAAAAGCCCCAGTAAGAGAACACAGAGAGTTTTAGCCATAAGCAAATCTGTGGCAACACCAGCTGCAGTTTTCTCTGGCCTTGCACTATGAAATAAAGCCAGCAGCAGTTTCTCCTCATAGTAATTATGCCAAGTTAACACAGAACATGTGTTTTCAGGTGCTCTATCAAAAAAAATCCCCCCACTAAGGAAGATTCCTTGCTGGTGGCTTCCTGACAGCTCTTCATCAGAGAAGATGAAAATCTTCCATTTTTCTTGAAGAACCCATATCAACGCTCCAAAGAAATAAGTGCCAAGGAAAACAAATGCCAATTTCACAAAAAACAGGCTCAGCTGAAGGACATAAAGGCAGAGAAGTGCTCTGCAGGCAGCATCAAAAGATATCAGCACGTGCACATCTCAAAACAAGCGTGTCACAAACTGGCACCTGTGAAACTACCACATGTTGGTGACAGACAATGCCCTAAACAAGTTCCATTCCATACCCTGTATGGTATCGACCAGCAACAAACTCACTCCCAAAGCCTACTTCAGGAATCAACAGAGTATGAAAAGAAATTGGAAGCAGGCTCAGCGAAAGGTTTATTTCACAGAGGCCAAGCAAAGCAGTGTCAGAAGAGAATTACACAGGAATTGACAGAGTAACCTCTGGGAACAACTTCTGGGCTGGCCCAAGGGGCACGAACGTTTGGGGCTTTAAGCGACACTCAGTGACCAGGAGTTTGCTGGAAACACGGGAGTTTTGCAGCACAAGTTTGGTTTTGTGATAAATAAATAACTGTGATTCGTGAAACAAATGGGTGATTATATCAAAATAAAACAAACAGACTGTAAAACTTAATTACACCCCCATAAAGAAATAAAACAGACCCTCACAAGGTCAAGAGGCCTAAACCCTCCTTACTATCCTAAGAATAAAATACAGTAGAACTTTAAATCTTCAGGTGCCTGTTTGTCCTAGGATGCATGAATTATGACTGGTTGTAGAGATAACCCTTTAGCTTTAGCTGTAAGAAAACCCATCTATTAAATACTTAGCAAAAACCTGTAGAATGTATATGTATATGTATATGATATAATTAATATACATGAAGTAGCTAAGATAAATACTAAATGTACCCTGCAGTAGAGGTGTGCAGATTTGGGAAACTGGTCCCATTTCTGTCACCCAGCCGGCTGCTTGCTTTTACCATATAATAAACTATTATTCGAAACTTACAGAAACTCGAGACTTTGTTTATCACAGTTTCACAGACTCGGCTGTTATGGCCCTCTGAACAGTCACCCCACGTGGGCCAAGCCTGCCCGAATACCTTCAAACCGCCTGTGGCTGTCGTAGTCCTCCGAGCAGGGGATCTCCACGAACTTGTCCCGCAGGCTGTCGCTGCGATGTGCCAGCACCTCGGTGACCCCATCCTGGAGGATCCCATCCCCGGAGATCCCACCCTGGGCGAGCAGGCGGCTCCAGAGCACGAGGCCGCCGACGGCCGCGGTGAAGAGGAGGAGCAGGGCCGCTGCCTTCGCCCGCCATCCCCGCGGGTCCTGCCGGGACCGGCCCTTCCTGGCGCTGCGGGGAGCAC